CGGATATACTACTACTAATACTCTCTAAGCTATTTATTATTATAGAAGGACTTCTTTATTTTCCTTTTATCTAGCCCCGAGAGTCTACTTATATTATATAAGTTATTAGTAGTAGTTTATTTAAGAGCCGTCGCTACGGTACCGCGTCTTCTTTTATATTTAATTTCTCTTTCGTATAATAGAAAGAGGAGAACCCTCGAAATAAGTAGCCTTAAGTATTATATCTCGTCTTTATTCTACAAAGTTACTAGATAGCTTATAAGCCCGGCGCGATTAGGCGACGAGTTCGTGCTCGAGGTCTGGTTAATATTCTAAGTCGCCCCGTTCTAGAAGCTAGAAGCGAACTAATACTAGGAATATCGTTCTAAAAATATTAGAAAGTTAGGTATAAGAAGATAGTTACCTATACTACGTACTTAAGATCTCTCCCTTTCGGTAAGTATTAAAAAGGTTACGTCTAGGGGGCTAGGTTTATATATTAGACTATGGTCCGTAGGCTCGTGAAGAGGACTTTTAGAACTCGAACTAAATAAAGATAAATCATTATAAACAGCTAGGTCTTCGTTATTAGCGCGTAAGAAAGATTAGGACGCTACTTATATACCGCTAGTAGGTAAGGTAGAACTATGACTTACTCTTCTTACTACTAAATTATTAATTTCTAGGGTATACTTTCGTTTACGACTCTTACTATACCTACTAACCCCTATATTATTATCTATCTAACGAGATATAGGAGAAAGAATATTATCAGGATAGGAGGGAGGTAAACCAGATATAAGTACTATCTCTAAATCTGCTATATCTATTATATAGCCGTCTCCGGGGTAGTAGGAATCTTCGGGTGATTCTTTAATACCTACTAGGGCTCTGGGCTAAATTTCCGAGTTTATATTTAGTATATCGGAAGAGTCCTATAAAAATTTATAGGTATCTTCTAAAATAGACTTTATTTCTTTATCCCCTAGGTCATCTTTAGCTATAAATACTAGATTATAGTCACGCTCGGGATCGGGATAAAAATTTTGGAGGCGCGAGCTATTTAAGTAGTCTTTAAAAGAAGGATGATTTAGTCTAGTAGAGGCCGATTTCGATATATCGGAAGTACTTCCTATATTTACGTAAGTAGAACTATCTATAGGTAACGCTAAGGAGTACGGTGAAAGAACTTTAGGCTAGGTTATCTTACTTAGGGAAAACGTTGCGGAGTATTCGATACATTCTCTTGCTAGGATAGGCGTTTCTAGCGGATTAGATTAGGGTATAGGATAGGAATAAGTAGGGTGGAGAATAGGGGTCTCTTTACGCGTAGGTAGAGATTTATTCTAAGATTTATTGTTATCTATATATACTTCTATAACCCCGTCTATCTCTATTTTATCTAACTATACCGATATAGTACCTATAGGAATATTATAAGGTAAAGTAGTAGTCGATATACTGATATCCGACGATTTAGGGCTATCTTTAGAGGACGGCCTAGATACTATTTAGCTAACGATACCGGAGGAAGGACCCTCGTTAGAGAGATAGGAGCTAATATCTAAGACTTTAATACTAGGGACCGCTATTTAGGGAACGGCTTATTGATTATCTATGCTAATATAAAGTTATCTTCTAATCCTATCTATATTAGTCGCGTTAATATATAAATCCGGTATAATTAGGTCTAACTTATCGGAGCTAGTAGTAGGACCCGAAGCTACTAGAGTAGACCTAGCTTCCGTAGAAATTTTAACCCTAGTAGAGCCTTTACGTATAGTCGTATAATTAATAGGTAGAGTCTCTAGAAGTAAACTTATATTACTATATTCTATTACTTAGTATAATAAGAGCGCGAAGTCAAAATTGTCCGGTATATAATTACTAGATTATATCGAAGTATCTATACCGTTATCTAGGTTATCTAGTTTATCGAGAGGTTAACGAATTACACCGGGAGCTTACGCTTACTTATCTGATAAATCGTGGATTCTCTATCTGTCTATATTAGTCTCTGGTAGCGAGAGCGAATAGTCTGATCCTTCTTTAATACTAGGTAAGTACGGTATCCTAGTTCGGTCTAAATATAGCGTCGTGGATAGTAGGTTCGAGCCCGAATCTCTTATACTAACTTTATAGTGACCTAGAATATTCTAGACTTATTAGCAGGATATCGTCTAGGAAAGTAAACGAAGGCGTATCCTACTTATTTAATTAGGAGTAACCGATATAGTTACTCTTTCACGAAAGGAATTATCTCTAATAGCGACGTTATCGAGGCAAAGCGTAAAGACTCGAACTCGCTTATAGAGCTGGGCGACCTTGTTATAGGAAAGGGTCGACAGTATATCGTGATAGAACGTAAAGACCTGTAGGAACTATAGATATATTAGATACGCTTAAGGGAGCTTTACTAACGAGCTTGGTATAACGTACTATATTATCTATCTGTCGAGAACGTAGGTATTCGAGAGATTCTCTATCCTGTTTCTTCTGAACGGGTAGGTGAGTAAAGTAGTAACTTGTATTACTATCAAACTCACCTTAACTAAGAATGTGACGCTAATCATTTTCATGCATAAGTTGATATAGAGGAATAGAGCTCAACAGTCTAAAGATAGTGGTGGGGTGGTTGTTATAGCTAGGGAGTTAGAAGGGCAAAGACAGTTAAGCCGGCGATAGGGACCAAAGTGGCAGCCGATCGATGATAGGCTAGCGTCATGATCCAGGATTTAGCCTCTCGCCCCTTTTGCTCACTACTTGGTTAATATTCACCGGCGCGGAAATGATTATGATCCTCGATAATAGCGGCATTACGTCCAATCCCAGGCGATATGGCGGGAGTATCTTCGTTAAAGATGAAAAGCAATGCTACTTACGAAGGGTACCGTGCATTTGATCTTGTTGGTTAAGGCGGTTGATCCAGGACGGTGAGCAGAAGATGGTTTAAACGGTGAAAACGGTGAAAAAGAAAATGAGGGGGTTTAACAACTCCCTGTCAAACCGTGTTAGTCAGCGTATCCTACGCTTTATAGGGCAACGAATAATCTAGTCAAACTCTACACTTTGCTCACCCAAAAAGTCAGCCCCTTACTTAATCAGCATTTCGAGGATCAGATTCCCTCTCTAAGTAGGATGATGTTTCTTATAAGACAAAAGATTGGATACACGCGTGAAGGGATTCGTGTGTGAATTTAATTAGACTGAGTCTACAGGCCCGTCTATATCTGTTTATTACGGACCTTAAAGAAGCGCGGGGGCCGTAGTTATTTAAGTAACGACTAAGGACCAATCATTCTACGGATACTAGGGACTAGCGTTATCACGTGCGTTTCGGTATACTTAGGCGTGCCCTAAGAGATCCGAGGAGGGGATATCCAGGATAGGCACTAGAAGCAGCCCGCGGCTAACTAATATAAACGATACCCTCTTACTCTAGGGAACGGTTAGCGCGACGTAGGAAACGGCTACTATTTTACCGGTACCGAAATTACGCTATAAGTAAGAGTAACTAGTAACTTATTATATAACTAGATCCTACCGGCTAGTAGGATAGACTTATCGGGTAATAAGCTCTAATATATCGACTAATAAGCCGAGACTTATTAAGTAATAGGAAGGACTAGATATATAAGGATACTCTTTCTAGTATTATATATTTAGTTCTTCGCGATTAATTATATATTATTACTTAGTTACTATCTTAAAGTACTTTATACTCTATAGTTTAACTCTAAGATAAACCTAATCTATAGATAGGGGATTTACTTAGTAGTAATACTTAGTAATTAACCTACTTAGCGCGTACTTCTAGTACGTCTTATAAGATACTTAATAGGATCTAACCCGTAGTAAGGCTTTACGAAGTAACGGTACGATTGAGAGACCAGATCTTAAGATTGGAAGTTAGGATAGCAGGCAAGTATCGGCCCAGGACGTTCTAACTCACAGTAACCAGTCGGTACCGCGTAATACTGTTTCGAGGAACATGCCTTGAACTCATCGGAGTTGGTTAGATCGCTCATTGGTTGCTTCGCCTTATTACTAGTTTTGCTACTATAGATACTTGCACCATTGGCTTATACTACGATTGACAAAGAGATGCAATCAACCACAATAACAGTAAAAATTTAGAAGATGTCTTCCCTACCGCCTTCGTTAAGTAAATATGCGGCCAAGTTCCCTAGGCTTCTGATTACTGGAGGCAACTATTTACTGTACTGTAACTACTACAATACGAAAGAAACGATGACGAACAGGATACTTCTATGTAGTCATTCTTCCGCCTAGAGAATATCATTTGAGGAGGGGGTTTATGTCTAACAGACTCAGGAAATGCCTTTTTGGACTAGCCTATCAGAGCACCTCTCCCAAGCACGACCGCAGGCTCCAGGGCAGCCCATAATTATGTAAGCTGTCTTGATCAAGACAGCTTACATAACTAGTGATTCTCGTCCTGTGTTAGTTAACTAATTGGTTATCGCTTGGTTCCATCCATATGGTAGGACTGAGACTAGCTCGATTGCCGACCGAAGTTTACATAGTCGAACTCCTATGCGTGGCTCTCATCTTTTCGTTCCAGTTCGAATTTCAAGCAAGTCAGAGGTCCACGGCGCAAGCAAATTCCATAAAAGTCGCTTTGTGAATGGGTGCTTCCATACGTGATTAGCGGATTCCACCTAGCAAGTTGGCCGAAGCAAAGTGCCGATTTGCGAGAGTTATATCTTCATAATCTGTCGGACTTTCAGTCATATCACCTTGTTTTTGTTGATGAATCTGGGTGCGATAAACGAATCGGGTTCAGACGGACTGGCTGGTCACCACTTGGCGTGGCCCCTGTGCAAGTCTCTCAATTTCACCGCGACGAACGGTATCAGATATTGCCTGTATATGCCCAAGATGGGATTGTCCTCTCTCGAATCTTTCGTGGCGCTACGGATGCAGCTTTGTTCGAGGATTTTGTCAATGAGCTTCTTCATCATTGTGGAAGATGGCCAGAGCCAAAATCTGTCCTGGTCATGGACAATGCGTCCTTCCACCATACTGAGCGGATTGGGCAACTGTGTGCAGCTGCGGGAGTAAAACTGGTTTATCTGCCACCTTACTTGCCTGACCTGAACCCTATTGAAGAGTTCTTCGCCGAACTCAAGGGATTCATCAGACGGAACTGGAGCTACTTCGAAGACGATCCTGATCGAGAATTTAACTCTTTTCTCCAATGGTGCATTGATATGGTTAGTACAAAAGAATCGAGCGCTAGAGGCCATTTCCGGCACGCGGGATTAACGGTAGAAGAGGAGCAGTAGATTCTCTAGTCATTTTGGGGTCGAAAATAAACTTTACTAGATTTACTTGCCTAATTCGGGGGATTTCCAGCAAAAGAACGGAGAGTAAAATAGCCTTTGGCCTGTATATGTTTGCTGTTAATGAATATATTACGCGGTGCCGACTAGTCACTATAAAGTTAGGATGCTTCACGGGTTATACTTACCTGATCCTAACTTCAGATTCCAAGAGTATCTCTTAATCGTACCGTTACGTCGTAACGCCTTACTACGGGCTAGATCCTATTAAGTATCTTGCAGAACGTGCTAGAGGTACGCGCCGAGTAAGTTAATTACCTAGTATTACTACTAAGTAAATCCCCTACTCGTAGGTTAGGTTATCTTAAGGTTAAACTATAAAGTATATAAAGTACTCTAGTAGTAACTAAGTAATAATATATAATTATACTATCCTAGTAATAGGAGTAATTAATCGCGAAGAACTAAATATATAATACTAAACGAATATCCTTATATATCTAGTCCTTCTCGATTACGGTCTATAGTTAGGAATAATTAATAGTATACCGGACTAGTTATTCCCGTAGTCTATATAGTATACCTAACTATATATCCTAGATTACGTACGTAGTAGCTATTCCCTATATCGCGCTAACTATCCTATAGGTTAAGTCTATATAGATTATAACAGTTAGATATAGGCCGAATCTAGCTTTCTTATCTAAATATTCTTTTTTAGGATCCTCTAGGGTATACCTATATATACTAAGATATATATAATAACGCTAATATCTAGCGTCCGCGGAATAATTAGTCCTTATTTACTCTTAAATAGCTATAGCCTCCTATATCTTCTTAAGATCTATAATATTATCCCCTCTTTTCCTATCCTTTATCCTTAAAGGATTTAAACGTTTATTTCTTCCTCTAATATATATATTATTCTTTTTCTTTATATTTCCTATCTTCCTTTTCCTATAGCCTATTATACCTTATAGTACTATAGTTAAGCCTAAACGCGATAAGTATACTAATAATAACTATTTAGCTAATAGAATCGAGTAGTCTAGTTCTCTAATCTTATCTCCTTATAACTATTACTTTATTCGAGGAAAGTCTTATATTATAAGCTTATATACTAATAATAGAAAGTACTCGATTTACGCTCGCCGTAGCTAGACTTATAAATATAGTTTCTATTCTAATAAGAAGTAGAAGGATCTTTAGCGCGAGGAGTAAAAATTAGTCTAGGAGCTTAAAGAGACTTAAAAATAATTTCTTTAATATTCTTAAAAAATAAATAAGGTAATAGTAAAGATACTTTATTTATAGAAGTATTAAAAATTCTTAAAAGATTATAGTAATCGGATATTAGATTACGACTAAGTAGTCGCCGACTATCTTAATAAGAATAACCCTCCGACTATAGCGGAGTTTATTAAATTCGACTATCTTACTACTTAGTAGAAGATCTAATAGTTAGCTACTTTATCTAATAATACTAGTTTAAATCGGTTTATAGTATCTCTAGATTAGTTCCCTCTATCTTTTTAGAATATCTAGGATAACGCTTTACTTAGGAGTTCCCTTCTTACTAGTAGTACTATTAGACTAGCTAGTAGTAGCCTATTAGGTTCTCGATAGATTCCTATATATTTTTTAAGATATTATATCCTTTCTATTTTACTAGATAGTAAGGTTTTCTACTAATTTTATTTATATCTAGTATTTTTTCTACTTTATATTTATTTTCGGTTTCTTTCTTTATTTCTATATTAGTAGCGGTTTCGGCGTTTTTAGATACTTTCTCTAATAATAAGATATAAAATATTATATAAATATATTATATACTATTAGATAGTTTTAAGCGATAGTTAAGTAGTCCTATTCTCTCTTCGATTTCGAATAGTCCTAGTTTAAGATAGTTAAGTTTCGTACTAGGTTATTTAGTATAAATATTATATTATAAGAGGTAAACTTTCTCCCCCTTTTAAAAATTCGGTATCTCCTAGCGCGACTAATCGTAGTAGGATTTTATATATATATTAAGGAACTCGATATCTCTTAATAGTTATAGGTAAAGTTATTTTAATCTAGTCGCTAGTAATCGAGATAACTCTACGAGTAGTTATTTTCCTATTAGTTCTCCGATAATAGTAGGATTAAACCTATAATTTACGAAAAATAGTATTTCTTTCGTAGTTATATATATTATATTATTATACGCGAATTACGCTATTAGTAATAATCCTATCTAGTTATTCTACTAGAAATTTATATAGTATCGAAGATATTATTCTAAGATCTAGTTAACTTATTCTATTTATTCGTTAGTCTATAGATAGTATATAGTAGAGAGTTTATACTTAATACCGAGTTAATCCGCTAGTAATTACTATATATTAGATATAAATAGCTTATCTCTATCTAAGGTAATCTTACTTAGTATCCTATAATTAGTAAATATATATCTAAATAGTAGATTAGCTATTTATTATATATCGATAGTCTCTATTATTAGGATTATATATATATATTTAGTTAGTTAATCGATAACTACTATAATTATATCGTTTTCTTCTAATATAGGTAACTTTATAATAAAGTCTATCGTAATCTATTCCTATAGTCGTTTTAGTACTTCTACTAGTTCTATTTCTCCGTATAGTATATATCGCGATAATTTATTACGCCGATATAAGTCGTATTATTAAATATATTTTCTAACTTTTCTATATAGCGCTAGGATATAGTAGTTCTATATAATTTTCTCGATAGTTTTTTCTATATCTAGATATCCTTCCGTAGGCTTATTATAGTATAACTAGATAATCTACTCTTAGAGGTTCTTAGGTATATATACTAATCTATAAATATAGACTAAGCTATTAGTTATTATAGTAGTATTATTATCTAAGATCTTTTATAATAATTTATCGGTTCGTATTCTATCTCGAATCCTTTCGATCTATCTATTATTCTAGACTTCGCTAGTTACTATAAATATCTAGTAGTTATAAATAATATTTCCTTTATTATCTTTCGCTAAAATAGCTAGTACTACTTCCTTAGTTCTAAGTTTATAGTTAGGTCGTTAACTTAGCGCGTCCGCGACTATATTCTTAGTTCCTTTATAGTATATAATCTTAAAGTTATACTAGACTAAGGTTTCTATCTATCTTACTTATCGTCGCGTAAGTTTCTTTATAGTAGTAAAATATATAAGATTATAGTAATCTATCCGAACGATTACTATATACTTAGCTTCTTCTAAGTATACTCTTTATATCTAAAATACTAATACTATAGCTAGTAATTCCTTATCGTAAATATTATAGTTAATTTCCGCTAGTATTATTTTATATAACTAGAAAGCGATAGGTCTAAGCTTACTATCTTATCCTAGCTATATAAGTTATATCCCGAGCGTAAAATCTAATATATCGGTCTCTATAATAATTAGTATATTATAGTTAAAGATAGCTAGGATAGCTTCTCCTATCTTCTTATTATATATTCCCTTTAATATATTAAATAATTTTTCCGCTTCTTTATCCTATTAAAATAGTACTCCCTTCTTAGTAAATTAGTAGAGTCCTATAGTATATTTCGAGTATTATAGTATTAGCTTTTAATAGTAGTTCGCTAGTCTAAGAAAACTCTATATATCTTTAATATATATTAGTATTAGCTATTTAAGTATACTTTTAACTTTATCTTACTCTATCCCTAGTCTGTTAGGACTAATTATATATCCGAGAAAGCTTATTTACTAAATATAAAATTTATACTTCTTAAGCTTAAGTATAACCTTTACTTTCCTAAGTTACTATAATACTTTTTTATTATATACGATATACTCTTCTTCGGTCTTAGAGAATACTAAGATATCGTCGAGATATATAATAATAAACTTATTAAGGTATTCCTATAGTATATAGAAGATAAATCTCTAAAATAATACTAGTACGTTAGTAAGACCGAATAGTATAATCTTATATTTATAGTATCTATATTTAGTCCTAAAAGCCGTTTTCTATTTATCTCCCTTTTTAATCCTAAGCCGATTATACGCGTTAGTAATATTATATTTACTAAAGTACTTCGCTTCTTAGATAATATCTTAGATCTTATTAATTAGTAGTAATAGATATCGGTCTTTAATAGTAATATTATTAAGTTATCTATAATTAATATATATCCTAAGCTCCTCTTCCTTCTTAGATATAAATAGGATCGGATATCTTACTAAGGATTTCGAGTATTAAATATATCCTCTCTTAAGATTATCCTTAATATATTCTTTAAGTATCGCTAACTCCTTTTACGATAGTAGATAGATTAGTATAAACTTTAGTTCCTTATCTTCTTTAATCTTAATTTCGTAGTCGAATAGACTATACTCCGGTAGTTTACTATCCTTCGGTAGTATAAATATATCCTAGAATTCTATATATTCCGTCGGGATCTTATATTCTTTATTTAGTTCTTCTATAGCGTATAGCGCTATTACTATATTATAAACGAGGATATACTCCTCTAGTTCCTTATCGGTTATATTACTTTCCTACTTAACTATCGCGATATCTTATATATCGATTATATTTCTATTAGGCCTATCTCCTAGCCGGAAACTCCTCTTAAGTTCTCCTTCGTAAAGGTTTCTATAAGTATCTACTATCCCTTAGCTAAGTATCGTTAGCGTATTCTAATTTCTTCTAGTCTATTTCTCGCTAGTAGCTCTATAGTTATATCTAAAGAGTATATTATTTATTTACTAGTTAATATCGGGATTATATTTCCTTAGCTAAGGAATACCTAATACTATATTATATTATCCTAGTAGGGTTATATCGAAGTTAATAATTTCGAAGTAATCTCCGATAACTATTAGTAGTAGTCTACTCTTATAAGTAATCCCTAGTCTAAGACTCTCCCTATTAAGTCTGACGATTAGTATAATCTAGGGTTTCTCTTATCCCTAAATTCGATAGCGGCTCTTATACTCTAGGCTTATAAAATTACTAGCTACTCTAGAGTCGATTATTACTATAGTCGCTCTAAGTATAATATTAGCTATAATTCTTATATATCGTTTCTATATAGTTACTATAAGATATTATTTATTATTTATTTTTCGGTTACTAAACTAGAGTCCTATATACTTAGGTTTCTAATTAGGTTTCTTTTCCTATCGTAGTAGCTTAGGTTCGAGGCTTCTCTCGATCTTACCTAATATATATACTATATATCTATTATTATAATAGGCTAATATAGCTCTTAGGTCGTACTATAGGTATCTTACGTATCCTTTATATATATATCTCGGGCTATTATACGGATATTACTTTATTCTTTCTTAGGGTTCTTTCTCTTAAGACTATTTAGTCGTATCTATTCCTTTAGGTATAGATAGAGTTTCTAAGATCTCCGGGGTTCCTAGTATCGTACTTAGCCCTTCTAGGACCTTATAGCCCTACTTCTAGGTCTCGTCGGATAGTTCCTAGGAGTCGTCGGTAGTATAACTCCTAGGTAGTATAGCTACGATAACCTACGTATAGAAGAAGGAAGGTAAAGTAACTATATCCTATATAATAAAGAAAACTAAGACGAAGGGGAAAAAGGAAAGGAATAAATAAGGAAGGTAAAGTACTACCTTAAATACCTATCGTAGGCGGGGCTATAGTAAGACGGTAGAATCCTTATAGAAAGTCCCGGATAGAAGATTCCTCTATAAAAGTAAACCGAAAGGTAAATAATCCTTAGGCTCTAGCGTATATATACGCGTAAGGCTTCTATTAATAATACGTAGGTAAATATCTAATCTTATAAATATAAATATCGATTATATAATCTCCTCCTTAACTTCCTAAGTCTATATCTATTAACTAGCTAACTAATCTACTAGTTAATACTAACTCGCTAGTCGGCTAACTAACTAGTTAGTAAACTTACTAGTTTACGGTAACTAACTAGTTAACTTATCTAACTAACTCTATACTCTAAGTCTATTTACGAACTAGTTAACCGACTAGCTAGTTAACTATTAACTTATTACCTATATATTATATTACCCTCTATTTAGACTCGCGACTATCCTTAGGCGTAGTAACGTTATAGTATATTATTATCTAGGCGTACTAGTAGCTTCTTATTAAGAGTCTTATACTCTAACTAATAGTTAAGGTTTACTAGAGGTCTAGGGTAGGATAGGTAGATTTTATAATATTCACGGAGTTTCGAAGCTATAGTCTAGAAATTACTAATATTATACTATATTATATTATTCTCGAATCCTATCTACTTTACTTAATACTAAAGCTTCGACTAGTTAATTCGCGAAGTAAGGTTTATCTCTATATTATACTCCGGCTCTAGTATAACCTATATCGCCGGTTTAGGGATAGGCTATTCTAGAAGTAGATCTATACTTATTATATAGTATAACTTCTCCGGGTTAAAGATATTATATCGTAATAATCCTTCTAGTAGTTATAGTTAAAAAGTATATCCTATCTTCTCGATAATCCGGAAAGATCCCTCTACTTTCGGATAGAGTTTATCTAATAGCCCTTCTACGATCTACTAATTATCCTTTATTATAATTATAATAAGATTCCTAACGTCGAAGTTTAGCTCCCTATAATATCGATTTACCTAGATATACTAATATTCCTATACTTTAGCTATATTATCCTATATAAACTTATAAACTTAGCGAATTTTATCTATCTAGTCTTAAGCTATCTTCTAGTCTAGCCTATAGAGATTCTATCCGCTACTACTAAGTTACTAATTAACTATTATTCTTAGCTTATACCCGCGTTTAGCGTAGTATAGTAAGACCCTAGTCGACTTATAAGATAAAATCGCCTAAGTAAAGTCTATTATTAGTAGTAGACTAGACTAGTTATTAGCGAATTTATCTATAAAGATATATAGTCGTTAAGATAGTAACTAGATTATATTTTCCGACTATCTATCCGTTTAAGGATAATACAGAGTAGATAACTTCCGCTTAATCCCTATTAACTTATATAGGGTCTTCTAGAATAATATAATAAATTATAGTCCTCTATCCGATATAATTAAGTCCGGAAGTCCTATCTATCTATAATAGTATATTAACTATAACTTTACTAGATCCCTAGCTATAGTATCCTTAAATAAGGATATATAAACTATCCGCTTCGTTAATCTATAGACTACTATTAAGATATTATTATATCTATATTAGTCTTTTAGTAGATATATAAAGTCTATAGAGATATACTACTAAGATCTATCTAGTACTAGTAATAGGTTTAGGAGTCCCGGAGTCTTTATTCGCTAGGTTTTAGTATACTTATATATTATATAGTTATCCGAAAACCGAATAATATTCTAGTAGAGAGTCTCCTACTAAAAATAGCTTACTAGGAACTTCTAAAGCTTCTTAGCGCTTAGATAGGCTAAAGATAGTTAATTATAGGCTTCGGAGATTAACTAGATTCGTAGCTATCTATATACTAGGACTATAAGCTTCTTATCACGGATTAATATCCTTTCTTATAAGTTAAATCTACTTAAGGAATTCTCCTATTCGGCTTCCTAATATTATACTTCTAGCTCTAGATTATCCCGGTTTACTAAGAGTAACTATTTAATTAAGTTACTACTAATATAGAGTTAGTTAATTCGAATAGTCTTATACTTATCTATAATTTAGGAGTCTAAGTAGGATTCTAGTAGTAATATCTAGCTCTC